GGACATGTGACAGTTGTCAGTGTTGGACCATCGAGGTCTTCGATGCAGTCAGTGGTCGGGTCCGGTGAGAACATCAGATGGTCCTAGGAATTACTCACACATCGTAGGTTACCCTGGTTGGGACACGTACTCCGCATGCTAGAAGACAACTTACCTTGCGGAGCACGTTTTGCACAGCGCTGTACTGAGGGGAAGCGGACGAGAGATGGAAAAAGTATGAAAACACTAACCAGTAAACTCAGTCGGGTCGATAGTTGCCGACTGAGGTGACCTCAACGCCCATGTATAGCACTTTTTCGACCATGCTGGACAATGTACCAGCGGTCGCCGTTTACCAATTGATAATCGGAGGTGCTAGCTTAACGGACCAGACATTCCAAACCCGTTCTCCTTCGGTGGAAGGCGGCCTCGTTGTTTCTATAAACTGAGAAGTACTGACGTCCAATGGGAACACCCTACCTCATCCCCTTGTCTGCTGACAATGCGGGGATTCGCTGCACTTTACCTAACTGACATCCCTTATGTCTTCATGGGATAGGGGAAAAGGAAATCCACGGTATATCTCTCAGGAGCATGCCAAGGCGAAAATCCTTGGATGTCATGCTCGAATCGCGGACACAAAAGACGTTTGAGTCTAAAGGATAGAGAACAGGAGATTTCAAGCAATGTGAAGTGAGCAAGTGAAGATACTTGCTGTGATGGCTGAGGTGTGCTATCCATCTTACAAGTGACATACAGATTCCGCCCCCACGTTCCTCTCACCCAACTGAAACGAAGGTTGTTGACCACCGCAACTCTGTTTCAAACGTATGATTACCCATCGAGTCGGCTGGCTCACTTGAGGAAAAAAACATCCGATCAGCCAAGAAACAGGGTGAGAGAATGCGCACACAAATCATCGACGCAAAACCAGTCGACAGTGAGAATAATTTATCTACAACACCCTTTCGGTGCCATGCCATTTAGGCTCAGATACTGTTAGGTTGCCCAGGCATAAGCAACTGAGATGTCGAACGGAACTTCTGGTCCTTAAATCCCGCCTTGACCACTTATCCATCTCGTGTTCAGTCAACAATGCAACTGATCTCAAATCGTCCACTAACCGACCATCCAATCAAATGTGAGGAAACAGGAGAACAATCAAATAGAAACAATAAGAGTGTTTGAAAAAAACGTCAACAACTGAAGGTCAACACTCCATAAGTGAACTCACCAGCATAGACATAATCGTAGACCACAAGAGTTTCGTAGAGCAGCGCATGCAGGGTCATTTCCAAATTTCCCTTGTATTTGCACAACAGATGGAACGTATACTCCATATTGAGACCACAACTGCGCACGGCCGGGGAGCATGCGATTTTCATGAGCAAATTCACTGTAGACACGGGGGGAGAATCAGTTAATATTCAAAGATAAGATAGCGCGCTACCGAAACGCATACCGTGGTTTTAGAGTACACGATCAATTCGTAATATGAGAGCAAAATACATATGACTGGTGGACAATCTTTGATGATATCGAAATATCCGTGAACAACTGACAGTAGGCGTGAACAGACTCACATGACTCGATATTTTTCGGATCGCGGTCATCAAGATTGGCCGGGAACCACAGTAGTGTCTCACGAGCCTCGGTCTCTGCTTCCAAAGCAACGTGATCTGATGGAACGGACGGAAAGAGGTGAGTGGATGTGGTGTGACGATTAGACATGATGCTGAAAAGTGGCTGCTCAATCCGGAGCAGATATAAGGAATCTAAATTGAATGTGGAAACCTGTAGGATTTGCAAGCAGCAGGAAGAAACTAGTAGAACGATATGCTTCATCGAAAATTAAACCCCACTGCAACTGTTGGGATCTTTTCCAGATAAGCCCCGCACAAAATTCACCCCCGCCACCCGAAAAAGATTCCTTGGTATGATGTCCACATATCAGAGATGATGTTTGAACCGGGAGCGATGCAGGCTTGGATTGTGTCCATCAAAGTGGTCGCAGTTCGGTGTTTCCCATCCGAAAATCCACTGCTGGGGAAGGACTCGCCCTGCGTGGTTCTCACGGCAAGATATTAGCGTTTCATCGATCTCGACGCGTAGTACTAGGCCGCCGATAACCGTTGAAGTATGCAAAAGCCGCCAGGCGCAAACTTCGCGAAGAAAGTTCTTCCAATCAACAGCGGTCGTGTGGCCAATAGATGATTCATCCGAGCAGAATTTGATTTTTGCCAAATTTTTTGGACCAGCAATAAATGAACAGAATTACTGTCCTAAACTCCATCCTATACCGCTCCAGCCAAGTTCCCTTTCGAAGACCGACTTCTTGCCGACACTGTCGAGCATTACACCTCTACCTGTCAGAAACAGCTGAAAGTGTAATTTGGTGGCCATTGTTGCATACACGTTGCTCATGGATCACTCCATGGCTTTGCAAAAAACGCATTGCCGTCTCCTTGTCATGAACGAGAGTTGAAAGCGTCAGAAAGTTCACTTGAGGTTTTACGTCTGAACGGAGAAAACTTTGCACAAAATGAGCCTAGATGTGGATAAGGAATTGTTTTCATCAAAAATAGGTCAAGGGTATGTGCGTACATTAAATTGGGGCTGGCAAAAAGTAGCACATGCACTTTTTGCATTAGTGGCGGGGCTTATCTGGAAAAGATGCCAACTGTTTATTCCTCCTGTGAAGCGACGGTGGTCAGTGAGCATTTTTTCTCTTCCGTTCTGACTATTCATGAGTAGCGTGCTTTACACCGTTTATTGTGGCGCCGCTCCGTTTCCTTGCTGCTCGTTCCCTCGGTTTTTACACTTGCTTAAGATCTGCTTATTTTCTAGTGACTGATGCCAATATATGTTGTCTGTCTGTCTGTCTGTCTTCGATTACAAGTTCGCGTCAGCTATGGTGGGAAAACGGACAAGCCCGGGATCAGCTTTAGAGCCCCCCGGGGATGGTAGGCTAACCAACTCGACGTCTCAGAGGCTATTCTTTGTATTACCTTTATACTACAACTACCAGATAACCCGTGTTGAGATTTGTTTTTAACGGACCTAAACGCGTAATCCGATCTGGCACGTGATACGAGCTGCTGCTTCCAGCCGTCAGCCAAAGACGGCCCTGTTACCTTCCGAACGTATTAGCCGTCGTCTGCCGTATACGGCTAATTTACACCTGCCCGTATCTGTACGTTTGTGTACATCGTTTGGTATTGCTTCCAGAAAGACCTGCTGCCATTCTTCTGCCCCTGTAGGAACGGTATTTTCCTCAGCTTAGTTCTCGGTCTGAGCCTCCCAAGCTAGCGTTCACGTCAAAACAACCACCAAAGGTGCACAAGGTCTATTAATGCTCAAAACGAAGTCAAGAACAGTTGTACAGCGCTTCGTATATATAGCGTAAGCGGTTATAACTTTATGGAATTTCTGACGCGTTCTGGATGCGGCATTGGCAACCGGCATTTGGCTAATACTGGGTCATGATTGGCTGTTGGATCCAGATTGTTGACCAATCAGATCTCGTCTTGATGCCAGACCGGCAAGCGTCCCGAATTCTGGGCCAACCTCGAGCGGGCCAGGCTTCTCGGCCGTAGCAGCGCCTAAAGACGTGCGGTATGGTGGGATCCGCGTGGATTCCTGCCTAACAGCCCCTACCGATTGCGCAATTATTGATTAATTCACGATGTTCATTAACCCTTTTGTCGCTGAAACCTGACAGTTCTCAGTAGAGCATCTCTGTCCGTCTGTTTCTACTACCCGCTGAATACGAGCTGCGTATAGTTCGATAGCTGCAATCGTCCCGTGAGATCCTACAGGGATTAGGTCATGCTTTGGAGTTTGCATTCACATCACGTCTGAACTCGACTAAATCAAACAATACCGGGACAAAGCGTTGGTTAGCTATTCACAATCACCTCCAGTTCGGCTGAAAACAAACTGAAAAGATCTTCTGAACAGAAGCAGTAGTTCACAAACCACAGCAAAGATAGATAACATTCCAGTGTGTGTGTGCGTGTATGCGAAGAAAAAACATGCTTGTCAAAGTGATGAGCGAATAAACACGCAGGCAGCTGAGTGTGTTGTGGCAACAAACAGACCGTAGTGGGTGAGCAGGATGAAGCAAAAATATTCTTGAAAAACAAGTGTTATGATCAACAAACAGAACAGAACACTGGATTCACCAGAAAAAAAGTCGCTTGGCAGTATGTACAACAACAGTTGATGCATCAAACTATCAGTTGTCAGTCAGCGCCTAGCTAAGTTGGAGTTGTGACCTTCCGAGGAAATATGAATCTAGAGGGGAGTAGACCAGGAGTTGGGGACCGAGTGAGTCCGCCACTAACTGCGGCTCATTGTTTGGCTACCGGAAGAACGCCAGAAAACACGATGAGAAAGTAGACAGAACGGACCATCATACTCACCCGGGCAGTAGTCTGGTATTTCAGCCTGAAACGCATCACCGATATTGATTCGTCTGCATGAAGACAGATCAAGAGAAGGGTATTACAATCGGACTGAATATGTATACGTTCTTGAAACATCACTAGTATCGAGAAATACACTCATTTGCAAATCAATTTGGTTTTCACGAGAGACTCAACTGAATCTCTCGTTTATACTGTTTTACAACTGAATGTGCTGCACACAGGCCGCCTCATGCTTCAGTTGGCACGATATTCGAGATATCGCAGTATATTTTCATAAAGGAAACTACTCACAAGGTTGCTGAAGGGCGAAACCGGTCGTGGACTGTCGAACAGTTTTCAGCAACCTTGTGAGTAGTTTTCTTTATGAAAATCACTAGTATCGCCTCACTTGGCACATATCCAAAACTTAAGGATGTTGGAGGAAATGTACGACAGTCAAATGGGAAGTAGGCAGTCCGACTGCCAGTTAATGCTATGGCACCCAAATGCCGGCAGAACCTGAGGGGCGGGAGCAATTTAATTCTTAAATTAGCGAAAGAAAACACTACGCCGCACGTCTGACAGAGGAAAATTGACAATCGTAGATGATATTTACGGAATAAGGCTGCTGGGTAAGCCTTCATCTTCCTCTTCTTCGTCAAGGTCATCATCCTCTTCAATATAAAGTTCGGTTGTGTGCATCTCCTCGTCCAATCCGGCCAGTGTATCCTCGACCAACTCCAAAGCATCTTCGGATTTGTAATTCATCAGGGTATCACATCCCTGTTCTAATTTCGACAACTTTACGGGAATTCCGTCTTGTCTAGAAGTATCCAGAGCGGTTTTACCGGTACTATCTGTGGGGCGATGGCTATCTGTATCGCAACGGCGGCGTCCAAGACGTCGTGCCCTTTCAGCTGCATCGGCTTCCGCGAATTTGCGCATCGTTTCGTCATCGTAGCCGAATACCGTACTGGTATCCTGCTGGGCGGGTGGTTGGTGAGCCAATGACGAACCGGTATTCTGTGGTAGTCACAAAAGGAAACCAGAGAAAGAAAAACTCGTAGACAGAGTCCGGGAGAAAACAGGAGAAAAGCATGTAAGGCACACAGGAAAGTAAAAATCAGGTTCACTCAGACTGAAAGAGGCTGTAGCTGTTGGCAGTCCTGCATAAAAACAGTTTAACGTAATCCTGGGGTGATTCGGTCACAAAACACAGGCGCGTCAAACAGTTCCCGGCACAGTTGGCATATATCATCTTTCATGTAAGTATAAATAACTAACCGTTCAGCTGTAACACCCTTCCGGTGCCTAGCTGCCATGCTACCCGGAGGAAGCACAAGGGCTGGGATACTGCCAGGTTGCCCAAGCATAGGCAGGGGAAGTCGAGAGCCAGAGGCAGAGGTCGAGTTCGAACCACGGACCTTCCGCGGTCAGTAAATTCCCGCCCCAACCACTTGAGCCATCTCATCCCCATCTTTCATGTGCAGGAGTCCTGGTGTTGGTATCCTTTCCAAAAGAAAGTCTGTGCACATTGCATTAAAAAAACGGAGAGCGCTTGGAACGGAAATCGAGCTTCCAGTCTTTCGCTTGTCAAACGAATGCTCCATCAGTTCAACAGCTGGGAAAATGGCCTACATTCCAGGGCGCTCTTCTGGAGTTGAAGGGTGGTCCCACAAAGAACGCACTGGATTCAAACCAGGACCTGATGAAAACGACCCTAATTGCATTTTGCCATTCATAGGAGTTGGAACTAACCGTACATGTTCAGCCATTTGCCAAAACTCCCTCGCGCTACATAATGAATCAGTAATCAGACTGTCGCTGAAAAATAAAAAGAGCGGAGTGCGATTTTTGCAACGGGTCAGACGTTTGTGTCATTCGGATACTCATGTACCCGGGTGTTGGTAGATTCCCTATTGAAATAAGGCTGAAAATCACGTTGGCTTGAGGCAGACTCGGTTCTCGAAGAGATTGCGTAGGCGACCAGATATGTGCCGTATGCAAGAATACTGATGTAAACCTCGACAGCTTTCGAGCGCCGCGCATTTGACTATCTTAATCACTCGTAAATCCTACTTTAAGCTCGTGTTCAGACATACGACGAGGAAACCATGAGTTGATATTACTCCGTACGGTGTCACAGGTGCTCTGCAATGAACTGGGCATCATGGGAATACTCTGGCGTTCAGTCTGTCCAGATCAGTCGGCGGACCTGGATGGAGGGTTCGGAATACGCTGTTGTTAAGCCTTCTCAGCAACACACTAAATTGGCTTATACGACAGGCTCAAATGAATCTACCTGAACCTCTCGTTTTTATAATTGTCTACCTCAAATAAATGTGTTGCAAAAGGAGGACGCTTCATGTTTTCAGCAACCTCAAGAGTAGTACATTGCGCCTAGACAACTTCAAAACATGCTGCAAAAGCTGGTTCACTGCACGGGACCAGTATGACTGGGAATCACAACTACGAAGACCAAGTTCCCTACTTGTATGGACGCAACCTCTAAATATAGGCGATGAAAAACTAGAGCAAATAATTGCTCAAACATCTTATCCAATTGATTAATGAACAGGAATATTCCCTGCTGGATCGACAGAGCTGAGCAACGCATTCGAGCAAAGGGATCAAGCTAGCTTGTACACCAAACTCCCAGTTTTCAACGTGGCGATCCAAGTTACGCCCACCAAAGGTGGACCCTCCTGAGCAGAGGTTTTTGACTACTTTCGACTTTGATGGGTACTGGAAGGTCGCAATATGGGAAAACCGACCGGAAGTGTTGCTGTGATTTAGAACACCCATACCAGACCCTTCAACGACGACTCTCACAAGGATAAGGGCATTAACTGAGCAAAAACGGTGCCAAAATTCTGATAAAACATCTAGGATGTTGTTATCATCAAGGGAGGACGACCCAAAAGCCTCATTGCGGTTAAAGACGACAAGTACAAGTTAGCTTCCACGCAACCGACACTGGAATCAGCACCAGGTTGTAATTTACGCCAAAAATTAAACATGCTTCAAGGGTCGATCCCATGACGTATCATCTACACAATCCTATCTCCGTGTGCAAGCGCATTTCACAGGTTGTAAATAACGTGCGGAATTTTATCTCTACAGATTTGAGCGCAGCTACGTCCGTTTCCTAATCGAGGCCAAAAATAAAAACCGATGTTGAGTTTTCAAGGCTTATTTGTTCGGCCCCACGTTATTGCAGACTCCGCAACCGTCATTGTCTGGATCTCAGAATCCAAAACCCGTTACATCTGCGGTCAACAGTTGTGTGCTGAGGTGAATGAAATGGTGTAACGTTGACACTACTGATGGGGAGGCACGCGAGTAGTATGTTTTGTTCTTGTAAATTCGCTTTGCGTCTCTTGAAAAGGGAGATCCGTTGCGGAATTTATGGAGTCGCTTCGTAGCACTTGCTTGGATTTGAGCAATGAATGATTGGAGTCAATGAATATCCAGGAAAGTTCAAGAAGACGCGTTCAGGAGAAGATGGATGTCCAGTTTTTGCCAATTCTGATCGGCAAAGCTGATCACTTCCCAATCGATCGGCCAAATCAAAACGAAGCGCGATATCGATATCTCATCCGGCACACTCAGTCACCAAGCCACCATACCGTGATGAACATTCATTACCCATAGGACATGTACTGCAGCAGAAATGGTGCCATCCGCTATAGTGTTCTCTTCTACAGATCAAACCAAAAGAGCACGGGGCACGCTCCCCAGCTTACCAGGACAACCAAACTGACACCATCATCATTCATCATCATTATCAGCTGTAAGAACCGCGTACTTGTCGTACAGTGGTTGCAGCTTTCACAGTTTCGTTCACCGATAATTTGTGAGGTAGCTAGCTGCGCATTGGAGGCGGGAGCTGAAAAATACGGGACTATCGGTGAACTGTAAAGAGGGGGAATTGGGAAGAGAGCCATGCATTGAAGACAATAGCTTGGATTCACGAGCGCCATTGAGGGCGCGACTGGGCCATGTCTGACAATGTCTCCAGCCATTGGTGTGGCCCGTCTCGAGGTCCCCATCAAGGAAGGCGGCAATGACCAGCGCAGCTGAGTTTGCTGGTGATAGCTTTGATACTTCGCTGCCAAGTAATTGTTTGACCGCCTCTGGCGCTCTTCCACCCTTCACGTGGTTGTGCGAAAAGAACCCTTCGAGGAAGTCGGTCGACTGGCATACGCAGCACGTGGCCGAACCAGCTCAACCTTGTCGTACAGGCAGCTTTCACAGTTTCGTTCACCGATAATTTGTGAGGTAGCTAGCTGCGCATTGGAGGCGGGAGCTGAAAAATACGGGACTATCGGTGAACTGTAAAGAGGGGGAATTGGGAAGAGAGCCATGCATTGAAGACAATAGCTTGGATTCACGAGCGCCATTGAGGGCGCGACTGGGCCATGTCTGACAATGTCTCCAGCCATTGGTGTGGCCCGTCTCGAGGTCCCCATCAAGGAAGGCGGCAATGACCAGCGCAGCTGAGTTTGCTGGTGATAGCTTTGATACTTCGCTGCCAAGTAATTGTTTGACCGCCTCTGGCGCTCTTCCACCCTTCACGTGGTTGTGCGAAAAGAACCCTTCGAGGAAGTCGGTCGACTGGCATACGCAGCACGTGGCCGAACCAGCTCAACCTATGCAGTGTGATCAGTTCATCTATCGAGAGTGAGTTATTTCTCCCGAATACCATTCGACGTACTTCAGCATTGCTGATCCGGTGTTCCCACTAGACTCGGGCAATGCTCCGAAGACATCGATGGGCAAACACTGAAAGTCTTTTGACGCCCTCAGCGCGCAGTGGCCAGGTCTCTGATCCGTATAGTAATATGGAGCGCACCGCAGCATTGTAAACTCGACCCTTGATGGATAAACAGACAATTTGGAGTTCTGATCACAACTTTCCCCCTGCCCCGAAGAGGTCATTTTCTCCTAATCTTCTCGAACGGGAAAACCGCACAGGAACCAGCAGTTTGAAGCAAAAATGGTGTGATCCTATTTCATTTATTCGTGTTCTAATATATCCAACATGGTACGAAGTTAACTACGGTCCGGTCTAAACCGGCTTTTCTGATATTTTAGTCGGATAGACGTGGGGACCGATAAGCACTCATGCGAGTGCAAATCAGGTATGAGAGTGAGGAATTCACGCGCGAATGTCCCCACAAAAGTGTGTGTGTGTGTGTAGGTTCGACGGCTTTTAGCACATTGAGACAGTTAGCGTGATAACAATTCACTTCATTTGTTCACAATTCCCGTTTAGTTTTGTCGTTACTTTGACGCTCAAAACAAAATCGTGTCTACACAAGAATCACATGCATTCGTCACCCAAATTACATGACGTCAACAACACGAATATATAGGCGGATTGAACGGTGCACGTTCGTGAGCAGTTAGTTTGCAATCACCACCAGAGACAGAGAGAGAGAGAGAGAGTATTCTGGACGCCTGCATCCGAGTCAAGTGTGAGCAGTTAGCAATCACCACCAGAGACAGAGAGAGAGAGAGAGGGAAAACAACCCAAGTGGCCGCCGGGTCTACGTCACCGGTAATTGTAGGTGATTGTAAGCGAACATAATGACATAGGGACACGCGTGCAGGCAAACAAAATCCATTTGCCCAATAAGACGAGAGTTGCTAGACATCTGTACATGTGTGGGCTTTCCCACGGTAGGATGTGGCGTAGAATCGAATCTCTGTCCCAATGGACAGAAAGTTAGTTCAAAAATTCATCTACCTGCACTAGCAGACCACGACGTTGCCTAGTGAGTGGATAGAAACGGGGAGGAAAAAAGTGAAAAATATCGACACTTGAAAACAAAGTCACCTCACAGACACAGAATGCGCTGCACTAAAACACTATTGCTCCACAAAGGACTCCAAGAAAACAAGAGGCGTATAGTTCAGTAAGACACTTCCCATCGTGTTGCGATCCTCTCCACAGGGCTGAAGCGAAGATGCTTCTTGTATATTCGTAATGGACTACTCATAAGGTTGCTGGAAATTCG